CAGAGGGAGGAAAACTCACATTCATACAAAAACTCATGTGTGGGGGCGCCTGGGTGGCTCAGTTGGTTAAGCGACTGCCTTCGGCTCAGGTCATGATCCTGGAGTCCCAGGATGGAGTCCCGCATCGGGCTCCCTGCTCGGCAGGGAGTCTGCCTCTCCCTCTACCCTCCCCCCTCTCATGTGCTCTCTCTCATTCTCTCTCTCTCAAATAAATAAATAAAATCTTAAAAAAAAAAAAAAAAAACTCATGTGTGAACATTCATACCACTTTATTCATTATAGCCAAAAAGCGGAAACAACTAAGATACTACCTACAGGTAAATAATCTATGTCACATCCATCCCCATGGAATACTATCCATCAATAAAATAGAAAAAACTTACTGATTTGTGCAGTAACTTGGATGGATCTCAAGAGTATTATGCTGAGTGAAAAAAGCCAATCCCCCCAAATTATACACTTTATAATCTGAATTATGTAGAGTTCTTGAAATAAAATTAGAGGTGGAGAACAGATTAGTGGCTGCCATGGATGAGGAAGAGGGAGGAATGAAGGTGGCTGTGGCTATAAAAGGGTAGCATGAGGGGTCCTGGGGATAGACTTGTTCTGTGTCTTGATTGTGGTGGTGGTTACAAACACACAATGTGCACAGAACTAAATACACGCACATACATAACTGAGTATCCATGCATTGCATGAACATCAATTTCCTGGTTGTGACCTAGCGTTCTAGTAACTAAGATGATACCACCGGGGGGAACTAGCTTATACCCATAAGGGATATAATGGGATCGCTCTGTGTAATTTTTTTTCTTAAGATTTTATTTTTTCTTAAGATTTTTATTTATTGATTGATTTGACAGAGAGAGAGAGACAGCGAGAGAGGCAACACAAGCAGGGGGAGTGGGAGAGAGTGGGAGAGGGAGAAGCAGGCTCCCCGCTGAGCATGGAGCCCGATGCGGGGCTCGATCCCAGGACCCTGGGATCATGACCTGAGCCGAAGACAGATGCTTAACCAACTGAGCCACCCAGGCGCCCCTTAAGATTTTATTTATTTATTTGACAGAGAGAGACACGGCGAGAGAGGGAACACAAGCAGGGGGAGTAGCAGAGGGAGAGGGAGAAGCAGGCTCCCCGCTGAGCATGGAGCCCGTCATGGGTCTCAATCTGAGGACCCTCGGATCATGACCTGAGCTGAAGGCAGATGCTTCACCAACTGAGCCACCCAGGCATCCCCTCTCTGTGTAATTTCTTACAACTGCATAAGAATCTACAATTAATTCAAAACAAAAAAGTTGCTGCTTTGTATTTTTATTTCTAAAATCAGTTCTCAAATTTATTATTAGTTTGTTTTTTGGCAAAATGAAATTAACCGTATCTACCACACAAGATTTTCATGCATGTTATAAGGAACAATGAAAACTGCAAAGCTCGCAGCACAGTACAAAAAACAAGAATTTTGATGACCAATTTGGACGGGATTCTAGTTCTGCCTAAAACCGAGCAGCGACCAATCATACACATATGATAAGCAGATAGGCTTCTTTGTATACAGTGGGTACTCAACAAACAGCATTTGCGACATTTATTAAAGATCAACACAAAGATAAGAAAATATCTACTTTTGTTGCCTACAAGGTAAACTTCTGCAACGGACACATTATCTGAAAGAAATTACTTGAACGGTCTGCTCAGACTTGTTTCCATTCACAAAGCGTGCGCCGGGGAAGCGCTCACTGACCGCCGTCCCGGCCCCTTTGGGGAACACACCGCCCAGTCCCCCGCACAGGCCCGGGGGTCGGCCCCGCGCGCGCACGCCGCCCAGCCCCCCGCACGGCCCCGGGAGGCGGCGCCCAGTCCCCCGCACGGCCCCGGGGGCGGCCCCGCGCGCACGCTGCCCAGTCCCCCGCACGGCCCCGGGGGCGGCCCCCCGCGCGCACGCCGCCCAGCCCCCCGCACGGCCCCGGGAGGCGGCGCCCAGTCCCCCGCACGGCCCCGGGGGCGGCCCCGCGCGCACGCTGCCCAGTCCCCCGCACGGCCCCGGGGGCGGCCCCCCGCGCGCACGCCGCCCAGCCCCCCGCACGGCCCCGGGAGGCGGCGCCCAGCCCCCCGCACGGCCCGGGAGGCGGCCCCGCGCGCACGCTGCCCAGTCCCCCGCACGGCCCCGGGGGCGGCCCCGCGCGCACGCTGCCCAGTCCCCCGCACGGCCCCGGGGGCGGCCCCGCGCGCACGCTGCCCAGTCCCCCGCACGGCCCCGGGGGCGGCCCCCCGCGCGCACGCCGCCCAGTCCCCCGCACGGCCCCGGGGGCGGCCCCGCGCGCACGCTGCCCAGCCCCCCGCACGGCCCGGGAGGCGGCGCCCAGTCCCCCGCACGGCCCGGGGGTCGGCCCCGCGCGCGCACACCGCCGCCCCCGCGCGCGCACGCCGCCCAGCCCCCCGCACGGCCCCGGGAGGCGGCGCCCAGTCCCCCGCACGGCCCCGGGGGCGGCCCCCCGCGCGCACGCCGCCTAGCCCCCCGCACGGCCCCGGGAGGCGGCGCCCAGCCCCCCGCACGGCCCGGGAGGCGGCCCCGCGCGCGCACACCGCCCAGTCCCCCGCACGGCCCCGGGAGGCGGCGCCCAGTCCCCCGCACGGCCCGGGGGTCGGCCCCGCGCGCGCACACCGCCGCCCCCGCGCGCGCACGCCGCCCAGCCCCCCGCACGGCCCCGGGAGGCGGCGCCCCGCGAGCCGGGGGGGAGGAGAGGCGAGGAGCGCGCGCGCGCTGTGATCGCGGTGGAGCGGGTGTCCCGCCCCCACCCCGCTCCGCAGGCGCTGACAGGCGGCCCCATCGGCTCCGCCGCCGAGTCGCCGACCGCGCTCCCACAGAGCCGTCTGTCCTCAGCGCGCGGAAGCCAGAGCGAACGCAGGAGGGCCGCGCCGCTGGGTGGCGGCCTGCGAAGGACCGCCGCGGCTGCGCGCCAGGAGCCCCGCACGAGGCAGTCCCGCCCGCCGCCCGCCGCCCGCCCGGGAGCCCCGGCGCCCCTCACCGGCTGGCCTCGCCGTCCGGGCCCGGCTCCGCGCGCCGCCGCCCGCTGTTCCTCAGAACCATCGCGCCGCGCCCGGACCGCCGCCGCTCTCCCGGGGAAATTTGGCGCGCTCCCACCAACTCTCGCGAGAGGGCGGAAGCGCCCGCCGCCCAATCGGGAGGCTCGCCGCGCCCCGCCCCACCGAGCTCCTATCGCCGCGGGCGCCGGAGGGGAGGCGGCCTGCTAGGGACTCAGGGAAAAGTGTGCGGACGCGCGAGCCGCGCACGGCCGGGTCTGCCCCGGGCCGCGCTGCGGGCCGCGGCGGGGCGGGAAACGGGAGGCCGTCCCCGCGCCCCGGCGGGCGGGAGGCGGGGTCGGGGGCCGGGCGGCCGCGGCGCGGCGGTGGCGATGGCGCCCGCGGCGTCGACGCTGCGGGCCGGGGCCGGGGCCGGGGCCGGGCTCGGGGCGCTGCCGCAGCGGGCGCTCGCCCAGTACCTGCGCGTCCTGCGGCTCTACCCGGTGCTCACCAAGGCGGCCACCAGGTCGGCGCGGAGGGGTCGGGCCCGGGCGGGGGGCGGCCCGCAGCTCGGCCAGCCTCGGGGACGCAGCCCCGTAGGCGCGTTGTGTGCGGGGATTTGAGTGCGAAGGGCGAGATGCCGCGAGTCACACGACCCCGAGCCTTGCTCCAGCCGGAGAGCTCGGCGTAGGCGGCTGTGTGCGTCCGGTTCTGGCGGGTCGTTGCCAGGGAGCCGGACCAAAGGAACGCACGGACCGAGGGCGTGAGGCCCCTCCCGAAGGTGCGTGCGTCCGGCCCACCTCCCCTTGGCGGCCGCAGCCGGACGGCCCGTTCCGAGGTCAGGGGCGTTCGGCTCCGTGTCTCGAGCGGCACCCTTAGCCTGGGCGGGGCGGCAGGTGTTTGCTTGCCTCGTCTTCGCAGCTCTGCACCTGGGGGAGAGGTGACAGCAGGCCCCTGCCCCCGGCTCTGCCGGTCCGTTGCACCCTTTGATATGAGACATCGTTCTCCGTCGGCTTTAATCGGTTAATTTTGTAAGCTCAGCCCCTCTTATTAAATGCAGCCTTTCATAAATACGTACAGCATGCTTCCGGGGTGTGAAGCACCGGCAGTCAGATAGGTAGGGAAGGTCCCTACCCTCAGTGGGCCTTCTATTCTAGTGAGAAACTAGACAAAAAGCAAGATAAACAGGGAGGTCAGGGAGGTTTTATCCGAGGAGGTGACATTGGAACAGAGACCTGAAGGAGGGAAAGCAAAAGCTCTCTGGGCAGAGGGTACCCAGTGCAAAGGTCCTGAGGGAGGAGCAAGCTAACAGTGGAGCGGTGGAAAGAAGGTCTGTGTTGCTGCAGAAAATGAACAGTGAGGAAGGGACCAGGTGAGAAGGAGGTGGCCGAGGATCAGATCAAGAAGGTCCTTATCAGCCGTACAAAGAGTTTGGGATTTTTTAGCACACACAGCTTATCAGAAGGTAACTATAGACCAAACCTTGGAGCACCTGGGCCCATCTCCACCTTTCTACTGAAATTTATATTGTGGTAATTGTAGGTTTACATGCGGTTGTAAGAAATAATACAGGGAGATCCCTTGCACACTTTGCCCAGTCTCCCCCACTGGTAACATTTTGTAACCCTCTAGTGCAGTGTCACACCCAGGTCACTGGCAGGTGCAGTCCACAGACCGGGGGGGTGTGTGTGTGTGTCTGTCTGTGTGTGAAGTTCTACTTTGATGTAGGAACCTCACACCGGGGCTGCTTTAGGAAGGACTCATCTCTCCCCATCCCACGCTGCTCTCCGCACAGCCGTGCTGATTACATACAGGAACGGGCCACCCTCCTGCTGCTTTCTCCTGTTATCTGATTACATCTCTGTCCACAGTGGCATTTTGTCAGCACTTGGGAACTTCCTGGCCCAGTTGATTGTGAAGAAGCGGGAAAAAGAAAACTCCCAAAAGCTAGATGTCATTGGGCCTCTCAGATATGCCATTTATGGGTGAGTTCCATCAAGGGGCTGGTCTACCCAGTAGCAGACTGATTGCAACAAAGCGAGGGTGTGAGACCAAGTTTCTGATATTTCAGAATTCCTAATTTGGAGAAATAATTTTTTTTAAAGATTTTATTTATTTGACAGAGGGAGAGACACAGCGAGAGAGGGAACACAAGCAGGGGGAGTGGGAGAGGGAGAAGCAGGCTTCCCTCGTAGCAGGGAGTCCAATGCGGGGCTCGATCCCAGGACCCCGGGATCATGACCTGAGCCGAAGGCAGACGCCTAATGACTGAGCCACCCAGGCGCCCCTGGAGAAATAATTTTTAAAAAAGCATTGAAGTAATCATGGGAAAAAATCAGAATGGTGGATAATGTGAACTTGTTTTATGGTTTTCCTTTTGAATTGCTCGGGTGGGGGTGGCTGTCTTCATTGGGCTGAGAGATCTGAGGGCAGATAATTCACCTAAACCTAAGTTAGCCTTCAAGACACAAAGACCATGAAAGAGGAAAACAGACTCAAATATGGTCAGTTGTTTCCGTTATTTTCATAGTGTAAGCATCCAGAAAATAAATATTTAGGTATCCTGAAAAGTGTCCAGTTTCTGAACCACTTTTGGAATTGCAAAGACCACAGAGATTCAGTTTTACCAATTAAGTCTTCCCTGAGTTCTCAGGCCAACAATAGTGTTTGTATAGATGGATTATTTTGAAGTCTTTTGCAACAAGAGTCATTTTTTCAATTTAGAATTCAGAAATATCACTTTATATTTGTAAGCATGTTGGTTGCGGTCATCACAACTTTTCCATAATGTAGTTAAAGCCATAATCACCCTGGAGGGAGGGAGTGTGTCAGAATCCCCTGGGAAGTGTTACTCACAGTTTCCATCTTCAAGACTTCTGTTCCCTCTCAAGGCCTGTCTAGCTCAGCCAGTGGAGCATGCAACTCTTGATCTTGGGGTCTTGAGTTCGAGCCCCACGCTGGGTGGAGGGATCACTAAAGAATAAATCAAGTTAAGACTCCGTTCCCTCTCACTAAGGACCCCTGCTCTAGGCCACTTAACCTGTGGAAGGAGGAAGCAATAGCTGAGAACCACTTGTGTGAGGACTTCCAGTGTCAAAAATTGGAAGAACCCTGGGTCCCTGCGCATCTTTTTACTGCTGAATTTTACAGAGCTACGGGTCTGTTGTACCAGTAGATGCGGTGGCTGTGTTCAGTCGTGTCCCAAGTACTCTGCACTTGGGAACACACAGGGTCAGTACAGACCAGCTAGTGCATGGCACCAGGTTTCACTCTTGCTAACTGCCCAGGAGGGTTTGATGAAAAGCTCTGACACCAGCGATGCATCCACTTACTCATCCTTGAGCACCTTCTCTGAGCCAGGCCGTGTTCTAGGCACTGTGGACAGTGTGTTCACGCCCAGTGAACAGACAGGCACAATCCTGTCCTGGGACGGTTACCTCTATTCAGCAAAGAGGGTACCGTATGACTAAACAGATGAGATCATGACATATGGTGACACAGGCTATGAAGACAGTGAGGCAGGACCTGGACTAGAGCGTGGCCGGGACAATGGTGGGTTCATTGTCCAGAACAATCATGAACAAAGTCTCCCAGCCGACAGTGTTGAAAAGGACCTGGCCACCTGGAAATTGATGGGAGATCCAAGGCAGGTCTAGCAGAGACAAAAAAAAAAAAGAATGCTTGAAGCAGATTCAAAGAAGTCCTGTTTTCTAGAAGGACCACACAGACCTGTGTGGTCAGTGATGGGAGGCTCCAGGGAGGCAGGGTTTAGGATCTGGGGTTTGGGGGTGAAGCTGGACCCAAGAAGGGCACCCCCAGGGAATGGCAGTCCTGCTCACCCCCACCGTGGGGCCTCAGGTTCTTCTTCACAGGGCCACTGAGTCACTTCTTCTACGTCTTCATGGAGCACTGGATCCCTTCTGAGGTCCCCTTGGCTGGGCTCAAGAGGCTCCTGCTGGACCGCCTCCTCTTTGCACCGGCCTTCCTGTTGTTGTTCTTCCTCATCATGAACTTCCTGGAGGTTGGTCTCTGCCATAGCTCTTTGTTTGGCTCAGTGATTCTTATCCTGGCGTCTGTGGGTGGAAATCAGAGGGCCTGTGAACTTTTCGGTACACTCAAACTGAAATTCCTCACTTCCCTTTATGAACGTCAGACACAGACCACGGTCATGTCAGCAGTACCTGTTGGTCCACAGTGAGAAGTCACAGGCATCTTGACACCACGCGTCATTTGTTACAGAATACCTTTTATGTTTCGTGGCCCCTCCTACCTGCCTCAAGTCCTGTCACTGTGTCAGTAAGCAAGCACATCTACTCATCTATCCTAAGATTCTTTTCCTGAATATTTTGAAAGGTGTATTTCAGTATAGTTGGTTCCTTGGTAATCCCATATATTTTATTTTATACAAACAGGATTCTGAGAAGGGGGTCCGTGGGATTCATGAAACAAGTTTCAGACCCCCGATGGCATTGCAGAACCCTGTGCTAACTCAGTCCTGAACATCCCAAGTGCTCTGAAGAGGTTAACATAGCACAGATTTAAACCATCACAACCACCACATGAGAGGTGTGTTCGAGCAGAGTCACCAGGCATGTCTGTTGGTTGTGCCCAGCCCAGTCCCTTCCCAGTTCACCTCTACCCCCTCCCCAACTCTGCAAACACCGTGTGCCCAAGATGTGTCATGTTCTGCCCTGAAAGTAATTGTCCCAGCCAATCACAGCAGCTTAATCCTTCTCCTTCAGGTTTTACTTTGAAGCAGCATCTTGAGTTCGGGTTCCTGAGGAGAAGACCCCTGTGGTTTAAAGTGTTCGGGGGGGGCGGGCAGGAAAGATGCTTCAACTTAACGGGTTAGTAATAAGTCCCTGATAGTAAAAAGAGGTGTTGGGCAAGCCCTTAGGAAATCTGAGGTAGGGGGAAGCGAAGGGCACCCACGTCCCTTTTATCCTTCCAAATATGAAAGGAATGTATGTTCATCAAAAGATGAGAACCCTGAATACATATGTCATAGGTGACCAAAGTGTGTAAGGTACCCAACACATAAATGATCTATGTGGGACCACATTATACCACACACACTCTAGATGCTTCTGCATCTGCATTTAAATTTTTTTTTAATTTGAATGTAGTTGACGCACGATGTCATGTTAGTTTGAGGTCCACGGCGCAGTGATTCAGCTACTCTGTCCTCCGTGCTCAGCCTAAGTGTCACCACACAACTCTAATTACAGGACCACGGACTCAATTCCCTGTGCTCTGCCAACGTCCAGCATTTTTTTGATCATAGATAATCACGTTTGGACTGCATAGTATTCCACCGTATGCCTGTCCCTTTTGTGTAAGGGTTCCTGTTTGGTTAATTCCCAGAATTGTCCAAAAAGGCTGTCCTTGCTTGTTCTTCCTGCAGGGCTATAGAATAGTACAAACTGCTGACATTTATTGAGCACTTGCTCCAAGCTCTGCATTGAGTCCTTTGGGTCATTTGAGCCACAAGTCAACCCCATTTTTGAGGAAGCTCAGGGCCACGGCTTGAGTTCCCATAACTTGCGAGCCCGTGAGTCCTGTCAGAACTAGGCTTTGTGACCCCAGAGCGCCCAATCCTCGCAGATTTGTCCTCTGGGCGAGGTTTGTTTCCCCACACTCTTGACAACCAGGATTGTATTTTTCTTTTAAATAGTTGGCAATTTGATACATAAAAAATAATGTATGCATATTTATGAGGTTGAACATCTTTTTATATGCTTACTGTATTAACTGCTTATTTTCTATCAGTGTTTGCTTTTTTCTCACTGATTGTATATTTGTATATATTAAGGACATCAATCCTTTGCCAAATACAGACTGCAGATATTTTTCCCATTTTTCAGGTTTTTGTCTTTTAATTGCAGATAAAGTTAAACCTTTGAAGTTATATAAATAAAGTTTATTTATAGTGTGTTTCTCCATACAGGAGTTTAAAAATTTTATGTATTCAAATCTGTCATTCTTTTCTTTTGTAGGCTTCCTTCAAGGAAGATACTGGGAATATGCTCCTTTACTTTATTCTTTTATGATTTTATTATGTACATTTTGACAAACACAAAGATAGTGGAAATATTCTATATTTTCCTCTAGTATTCTTATTTTTTTATTCATATGTGGGAGATATACTTTTGTCTTGTTTCTTTTCACTTAAATAGCAAATTGTCTTGTTACCATTTATTGAACAATCCCCCCGTACTTTGAAACGTCCACTTTATCACGCTCTCATTCCCATATGTGCAATCCATTATCTGGACTCTCTGATCTTTTGCTGGATTCTATGAATTTCCATTGTATGTCTTTTCTTTTTTAGCTTTTAATTACCATCATTTCATAGTATTTTTTTAAGTCTTTAGTAATTTAGGCCTCCTCTTGCTATTCTTTTTCAAGATGGCTATTATGCATTTATCCTCTCAGATGACATTTAGAATCAATTTATTGGGGTTCATTTTTTTTAAACTTCAAGTTCTGCTTGAAAATGCGTCCATTTTGGAGATTATTTTGGGCAGAACTGACAGCCGAGGCATACATAGCCGTTCTGGTGCCCATGGCCAACTGCATGGATCCCGCCGTTCAGTCAGCCTGCACAGAGTGATGAAGGTCCATGAGGGCCCTGGGCACTGCCTCACTGCTGATGACTTCCCAGCCGGGTGGTTGGCTCCTTAGGGCCGCAGCGCTAATTAGGCACACAGGTGTGCTGTCTACATACAAATGGAACAAAATCCACAGTTTATTTTTTATTTATTTTATTTTATTTATTTATTTATTTTTAAATTTTATTATGTTATGTTAGTCACCATACAGTACATCATTGGTTTTTGATGTGGTGATCCACAATCCACTGTTTTCGTATAACACCCAGTGCTCCGTGCAGTACGTGCCCTTCTTAATACCCATCACCGGGCTAACCAATCCCCCCGCCCTATTTTATTTTATTTTAAAGGGATTTTATTCATTTGACAGAGAGAGACACAGCGAGAGAGGGAACACAAGCAGGGGGAGCGGGAGAGGGAGAAGCAGGCTCCCCGCTGAGCAGGGAGCCGGATGCGGGGCTCGATCCCAGGACCCTGAGACCATGACCTGAGCCGAAGGCAGACGCTTAACCCACTGAGCCACCCAGGTGCCCCCAAAATCCACAGTTTTAAAAACCATCATGTTAGGGTTTGGAGACTTGTAGACCTTGGCACCCCAGCTTCGGTTCTGAGGACAGTAGCCACTGCTCACCATCCACACCCTTCCTTTCCAGGGGAGAGACGCAGCTGCGGTCGCTGTCCAGATAAGGAGAAACTTCTGGCCGGCGCTGTGCATGAACTGGCAAGTCTGGACCCCGGCGCAGTTTGTCAACATCAACTACGTCCCTTTGCAGGTGAGGGCCAGCCGGCACCATGCAGAACCAGAGGGGGCCTCATCTTCCACCAGCCTTGTTTTAGCTTGGACTGATTGGCGGTTTTCTCTCTGCCCAGAATCAGTAGCAGTTCCAGATTTGGACAGAGAAAACAGGTGTCCACACCTCATCCACTGGTCCCAGAAATGTTTCTGAAAAGCCCCCAGTCCAGGAGCAGCTTGGATTTTCCAGGGGTGCAGTATTGCCAGTGCCTGGCCTCGCGGGTCACAGTCAAAAGTGCATGCAGGTGCCAAGCAGTGCCAGTGCCCGGCAGGATGTGCAGGGGAGGCACGGGCAGCCTAACCTGCAGTGAGGTCAGCACACACCCGGGGAGCAGGCAGACGGTGGGACCTGGGGTGGGGCAGTCCTTGGGGTGCCACACACATGGGGTCCCGTACTTCTGGGCACCGGGGGGGGTCGCAGTCTGAGGTGGGCTGCTGAAACTGCCCCACGCAGCCCCACCTCCTGCTCTGAGCAAGGTGGGAGCCTGGAGGGGCTCTAAGCTGCAGGAACGGCTCACTGGGGCAGGGCTGAGGGGCCTCGCCATTGTGCACTGCTTTTACACACCAAGGACAGCTCGTGTGTGTCCAGCCCCAAGACCATACGCAAGGTTGGAGATACGCTAGAGGGGCTCGGCACATCTGTGTGCTCATGGCCTGGGTTTATTACAGCCCCGAAGGAAAGATACACCACTGGATCCTAGGAATCCATGCAGGCTTCCTGTGCTCCCTCCCTCCCATGAGGGTCACACAGAGCAAGCGCTCACCAAAAGAGCTTTGGTACCACCAAACGCAACAACATGTAGGCCATGTTTCTGCCCAGGGAAGCCCTGTAAAGATGCAGCACCTAGGGTTTTTTGGGAGGGCTGGTCACGTAGGCATCCTCTGCCTGGCACACACCAGACTCCCAGGAGAGCAAGTGCTCAGCGTGAACTGTGTTATTTTAGCAAGTAGTCCAGGCCTAGGGAGCCATTCTTATCAGTTGGGGAAAGGTGGGAACTCTCAGGAACTCGAACTACCCAGGCCCCAAGGAAGGGCTAGCCTCTCAAACAGGCCTTTCCAAGGACTGCAACCTTAAGCTTTTTTTGCACACCATTTAAGTAACCTACTTGTTTTCACCCCTGCTCTAGAGGGGAGAGACCTGGGCAGAATTCCCTTGAGTTGCAGCTCCATTGGAAGGCTGGGAAGAGGGGAGGGAGGTGCAGGCTGGGTGGTTACACACACACACACACCAAGGAGTAGCAGAAAACCAGGAGAAGGCAGTGACACACAACCACAGATATTGCAGGGTTAAAGCAAAATGAGAATCAGTTTCATTGGTTTTAACAATGATCTTATCAGTGATGTTCCCAAGAGCAATTTCAGCTCCATGAGGACTAAAGCCAAACTGCTGTGAATTGAGTGGTGGATGAAGTAGAAATCATAAGTCTGCAAAATTCTCTCAAGAAGTTTGTGAAGAAGTGGGGAGAAATGATGGGAATGGGCTTTGAAGCGAAGAGAGGCCATATGCTACCCTAAAGAGGGGGGCATGGGATTTGGGCAGAAGCAGAGAGGTGCTTTAGACAGAGGCCCTTCTTTACTAAGACAGGAAAGAGGTGCCTGTTCACTGGGGACGCCCGTGTATACCTTCTCTTTCCTCTGGGAGGGCAGAGGGCAGGGCAGGGCCAGACTG